AATGGGTTCTAAAATAGGCGTAATTCCGAATTAATTACCAAACGTGATCGTAAAGATGACGCAGTCTAGAAAAATCCTTTAAAATATACTGATTTCCTACTTCCAGCGTTAAGTCCTACAAATTCTAAATAGATAATTCGATACTAGATAAATTTTCCTATATACCTTGCTACAAAACGTTTGGCAGTATTCGAGTTTAAGTATAAACGAGAACATAACAATAATCTTTTAAGTGTTTTGTAAACACATCGATGCGAGCCTCTAACCCTATTTTGGGATGATAGACAAGTTCTTCAAAGGAAGAAGTAGCACAAGAAATAAACTTTTAGAGAAAACAGGAAAATATTTAAAATGTTATAATTACCACAGTAAATATCAAAAACACTGTGGAATGCCTCTCGTATATAAAAACTAAAATAGTCATAAAGTTCAAATTATCAATCTTAAATCTTAAAATGCCCCCAAATCATGTTATAGTATGTTTTTTGTATTGTTTTTTTTTTTAATGCTGAAATCTATAAATTCCATAACTATCCCTATGATTTGGTTCCTGCAGTAATCAAATGATTTATAGTGATAAGGTGATATATAGAGGATATTACATGGGCGCGCGAAGATACGGATTTTATTTTCGAGTGTTGAAAAGATCTTTCACGAATGAGCGTAGCGAAAATAGCATCCAATTTGCTATTTATCTAAAGATTAGTATTTTAAAAATTTCTTCCTGCGAATTCTAAAAGCATTTCGCAAATGACTTTGTGTTGTCTTTATGATTTTGCAAGCAAACAATGTTTATGGGATTGACTGTAATTTTTGATTGACAAGCGAAACTGACTTCAAATCCCGGATAAGGAACAACTTTTACCGCATGAAAGACCTGCATGCTTCTCGTGTTCAGACGTGTTATAGATCAGACTCACTCAACGCTGATTGATATTGACTGCGTCGCCTGCAAAACAATCATTTATTCGCTTCTGCGGAACTAAAACAGAAGAAGAAAACGAATATTTTCTGAAAATGTTTCGCACGAGTGCTGTCGTGTTTATGGCCGGTTTGATGCTGGTAGCTGTAACAAAAGGAGAAAAGGTGAGACATTAATTAGGTCTTATTAACCGAGCGCGCGGAAAATAAAGTTTAGCTGAACGTCGCAGTCCTAAAAGAACAACAACACTTGAAGTCGTGCCATTATTTTTTTTTTCAATAATGAAAAGAAGAAAGTCCTAAAAAAAAAACAACAGAATAACACAACAAGAGACTAAACTACCTCTAAAGCGGTCTAAACGCACCAAAGTTGTAATTTCAGCAACTTTTTGTTGGAAAATAAGCAAATGTAGTAAACTAAATGTTTTTGGTAAATTTTCAGATTAAAAATGCGCCAAAAGACTAGCTTAGATAGATATCATATAAAAATGTTCAAAGCTTTGAAGGTGTTCAGAACGGTGCCCATTTTGATAAATATATAGCTTGTACGATGTTTTTATCAAGAATGTCGATTTAAGGTCAAATCGCAGACGATCGTTGTGTCTTTAACATGTTTAATAACTCAACTGTAGAATTACAACACATCTCTCCCGCTCCAGAATACAGAATATTGAATGTAGAATGCATGTGCTTCCTTGCGCATGCTCAATAACATACAAACACGTACAAATGTTACTAACGGGGGGTGGGTTCCGTACATAGCTTAATTAAAGGTCCCTAGAAAACGAAGACCTAGAAAACGAAGACCGAAGACCCCGAAAAACGAAGACCCCCGTCAATTCTCGGGAAAACAGTGTGAAACATCTTTATACTTCTTACAATCGTTTCTTCCTGATGTGTCAGATCTTTTTATGATATTTTATTGAGAAATCACAGGGGGTCTTCGCTGGAAAACGAAGACCCCGGCCAAATTTCGTCTATATTAATATAATTCTCGGTAAAACAGTGTTAAACGTCTTTACACTTCTTACAATCGTTTCGTCCTAATGTGTCAGATCTTTTTATGATCTTGAGAAAATCACAGGGGGTCTTC